TAGTATCAGTTTTAGAGATTAGAAAACTAAAGCACTCAGTGTAGTTTGGCTTCCTCAAAGTTATGAAATTACCAACTCAGCCAGGTGCTAAAGTGCTGATTTCTGATTCTAAATTCTAAGACCCTCCAAGGTACTAGCTTCCACTGTAGCCATTGCTGCCAGAAGGAGCAAGTCTTCTCTTACTACCTACAAAATCAACACATTGGAAACACATATAACACTGGTATATTGTGAAGTGTTGGGAAGCACCAGGAAACACTGTCTAGAAATCTTCCTGAGCTGGAGGGCCTGGAAGGAGGCTTCCTGAGGAGAGTGGAATGGGTAGGCTGTGGAAGCATAGAAGAGATCTGAGATCAGGGGCAGAACTGTCCAGAGAGGGCCAAGAAACACACACCGTGTACCAGAGACACAGAGGTAACCTGATGACTAAACTGCTGTGATTGCATTTTAGGAACCTTGTTCCCTCTGTTAGGCTCTCAACCAGATACAGGCAGTTAATGTTTCTTCAGCCATTGTGATGCAGAATTTCAGTTTATACCTTTTTTTGATGAAAGGAATACTCAGTTGTCACTGTCTTGCCCACATAAAGAGCCTTTGGAGAGAAGGGACAGCTCACAAGGACAAGATGTTCATGGCTGCTTCCCTGTCCTTCAGAGTCAGTTCCCAGAATTCACAACACTTCATTTCTCTGAAATGGCTTCAAGGTTCCTTAAAACAGCTTCCTTTGTCACTTGAGAAAAGCCAACAGATACAGCCTATCAGTATGTTGAAATGTAATTTCTTGTGGCAGTTTGCAGAGAATTGCTTCAGTGCCTAAAAATGCCTTTGTATTTTCTCGTGACAGGTTTGTGACTCTTACCCCACTGAACTGTATGTTCCCAAATCAGCCACGGCACACATCATCCTGGGGAGTTCCAAATTCCGGAGCAGACGGCGGTTTCCTGCTCTTTCATACTACTATAAAGATAACCACGTAAGACTTAAAGCAGGCTTTTGTTTCATGCTTTGTGGGTTTTTTTTTTTTTCATCCTAAGAAGGCATTTTTCTAGCTGCTGTCCGCTCTTTGTGTGTGTGTGTGTGTTTGACTTCTTGGTGGTATGTGGATGTCATACACTTGTTGATGGTATGAGACCATTTAACTCTACTTACATCTTAGTTCTCATGTAGATGCTGACCTTCTATGCACATATGGCAATAAAATAATGGGATTGACTCAGACAATACCTAAACATAGCCATCCGTGTGCGTTAAGTGGTCCTCTCTGGATGTGTGCTCTGCCTGTCCTTTCAATGCTGGGTTCCTTTTGTACAGCTATTTTAGAAAAGTCCTTATGCTCCACAGCACATTCTTTTTCTTCATTCTTAGTTTTTTCAGTGGCCATTGTTTTTTAAAATGTTTTTAGTATCTTTCATATAAGAAATCTTTGTTTATCAAGAAAATGGATTTTTTTTTTTTTTTTTTTTTAAAAAAAAGGGTTTTTTTTTTTTTTTTTTTTTTTTTGAAACAGTGTCTACCTGTAGCCCCAGATGGCCTGGAACTGGCTGGGTAAACCAGGCTGACCTGGATCTCAGACATCACAGAGATTTCCCCGCCTCTGCCTCCTGAGTGCTGGGATTAAAGGGGAAGGCTTGTATCACTACGCCTGGCTCTTTTAAGATACTATTCTTGAAAGGTTTGTCTGTTAGCAGATACCAAGCAACAGTGGAAAGATCTGTATTTTCTGTCACATGGACTTCCAGAGGTAGGCAGTGCAGCCTTTGTGTTCTGACCTGTTCCACTCAGTAGTTGGGACCCATGCTGCTTCCACCTCCCTGCTCTGCTACCACTAAGAATTTGGCTCATGTCCACATTGGCGCTAAACATGGCTTAGTACCAGCCGTCACCTCTCCACTCAGAACAGTAGGTGAAGGTGGTTTCATGATGTGCTCTCACTTTTTTGAGGAAGGCTCCAAGAAATGTGACATTTCTGCTCACATCCTATTCATCAGAACTGTACAGGGTAGGCAGGAACATGTAGTCTTGTCGATAGCTGTGTAAATACCTAAAACTTAAAGTTCTTTTTTCCGTGGATGCTTTGAAACAAAATCGGGAGGAATAATAATGGTTTTTGCTATCCACTTCAAAAGTTATTTAGCTCAAACTAGGCAAAAAGTTTGACTTTCATGGTTCATATAGTTTGGTATTTGAAGCCAAGTGATGCTGTAAACAATTGAGGGTGTGTGTGTGTGTGTGTGTGTGTGTATATGTGTGTATACGTAAATGTGCTTATAGTCAGTATAATGTGTGTGTGCGTGTGTGTGCGCACGTGTGTGCGTGTGTGTGTGTGTGTGTGTGTGTGTGTACATAAATGTACTTATAGTTGGGTAGACCAGCAGCTGACAGGTGATAAAGGAGGCTTCTAAAAATATTTTGAGCAATGGTAGCTTTACCAGAGTAAGCAACAGCTTTCTCTGTTTCCTCCTTTGAAAGAAAATTTCATTTAGAGGGATGGATTCAGTCAATTAAAAAAGGATGCCTGGGGGCTGGAGAGATGACTCAGCAGTTAGGATTATTGGTTGTTCTTCTAAAAGATAAGGGTTCGAATCCCAGCACCCACATGGTCGCTAACAACCATCCTTAACTCCAGTTCCAGGGGTTCTGACACCCTCTTCTGTCCTCCACGGGCACTGCACCACATGGGCGTACTTACACATATACAGGCCATACACACATACACATAAAATTTTTTTAAAAAGTAGAAAAGGATGTCTGATCTCATTTGCCTTTGCATTCTTTGCCCTAGTTCTTTTCCTAGCCACGAAATGGAATGTAATGAAGGCTAATATTTGCCTGTTATTTCATTCCAAATACATTTTAGCTTCACAGAAATGGAGCAGTAGTGATACAGGCCAAAGGAAGATAGACTTTTTTTTTTTGATGGTGTTAGTAGGGATATGAGATTTCTTGGTGTTGTACTTTAAATTAGGATGCCAGTAACATTCACATTTTAGAGCATCTACTGATGAAGTGAGAACGTCTAGTGTGGGAAGGAGGATCTTAGGTTATATCAGTAGTAGGGTGGGCAAGGTCTTGAAGCAGTGAGCCCAGGGTCTGTGCTACTCCTTGAAAATATGGAGAAAAAAGAGCTCTTGGGTCATTGTGAGTGTGGTAAGGGACAGAGTACAAGTAGTGCCTCTGAGTGGACTGGCTGTTTAGGAGGTAGACCGCAGAAGCCAGCCTTGCTCTGCTGACCTGGCGCTCTCCTTGCCCCTCCTATGCTTTTCTTGATCTGCAAACCTAAAAATGAACTTTTACAACAGCTAAGTAGGCATGTTATGAAGTCTGCTTTCCTGCATTGAGCTTTAGCTGTTCTTATAAAGGTGTCAGGGTGAAAGAGAGAGATGTTCGTAAACATCACTTCATAGTGTGTCTTGGCGAGGAAATACTGGCTGTGCTTCTATTTTTAACTCCCCCCACCCAACACCCCCCACATACTAACATCTGAAGTGTAGGTGAAATGATGATCAGATTTGTATTTAGTAACAATGCTTGGACTTTAATATCAAGTTCGATTGTATAATTGCTTCTGGCTGAGAGCTTGTCATTAACAGAACTATCATCATTGAATATGAGTTTCTGTAAGTGGAAGCCAGATTGAAGTAGCCAATTAGTTTCCCATGCTCTTGTTGCTCATCATAACCCATCCATACAGCAGGAAGGGCCACATTGAGGTTACAGTGGGGAACAGTGAGTGCCAACCAGGGACTGTGGGAGGCAAGCCTTGGAGCACAGGAGGGTGAGGTCATCCTGGCTCCTGCAGGAGGTATGATTGACTTCTTTACCATGGGCTGATGGGGAGCTGAGACCCCCATATTCTAGTGATCAAGAGTTGCCCCAGTCTGTTGGACAAGAAGACTTGTGTGATGATGACCCTTTTCTATGTAGCAGAGACCTTTGTAGAGCTGTCTAGACTCCCTTTCAGATCAAGCAGCCTTATGGTCACTGTTAGAGATCAAGCAGCCTTATGGTCACTTGTGAATGGAATTCTGCGTCTAGCAGAATTTGTTAGCAAGAATTTCTTTGTTCTTTGATGTTTGCTATTATGTTGTGCCTTTAAAAAAAAGTTATTTTGCTTTAAATTATGTATAATATGGTCTCTTAAATCCACAGCATAAAGTTCTAGAGAGCAGAACTCATAAAAGATTTCCAGGAAGGCAATTTTTTCTTAAGAAAACTACAGACCTTCTTTCTCTCTGTTTATAGTTATTATTTATTGAAGCTAGGCATTGTTACAAAAATGTTACAGTGTTATATTTTAGTGTGACATTTGCATTTAATTATTATGTGTTTTTTTTTTGTTTTTTTTTTTTTTTTAAACAGCGTCTCCCTGGTCCCTGCCTGCCTGGAACTCACTATGTAGACCGGGCTGGCCTCAATCTCACAGAGATCCACCTGCCTCTGCCTCCTGAGGGCTGGGATTAAAGGCCTTTGCTACCACACCTGACTATTACCAGTTTTATATGTGAGAAAATTGAGATTTGGAGAGGACACATAAATTACTCCCGGTCATACAGTGTGAGCAAAACTAGGATTGAAAACCAGAATTTTTGGAATGCTAAGCTTATGTGTATTGTGCTGCCTAACTCATCGTTCAGGGGCTGGGGATGTGACTTAGTTGGTAGATCACTCGTCTAGCATGCACAAAGCACTGGACTTGATCCTCAGCACTGCATAAACCAGTGGGGTATAGTGGTGCACCCTGGAATTCCAGCAGTCAGTAAGTAGGGGTCAAGGGGATCCAAAAGTCCAAGGTCATCCATTACATTGCAAGTTTGAAGCCAGTCTGGACTACATGAAACCCTGCCTCAACACTAAAACCAAACAAACAAATGAGAGGCACCCCTGGTAGTGACCATTGGGGAGACTTGGATGTCTGCTCCCGGTCCCTGGGTGCTGCCAGGTAACGGTAAGACTCTCTTGATGGTCCCTGCCTATGGGGTATGTGTAGGGTCTGCAAAAAAGGATGCAGAGACCACTTTTGTTCTGAACAAAATTGAAAAGTGTGCAAACAAAAGCATGAAGGTAAAGAATTCATTCACAGCACATGGATAGGTCATTTAGAAAATGAACTTCAAAATACCAGAATCTAGACTAATATGTCTAATTCATTTCATAGTACAGCCCATCTAACTTTTCTGACTGAATCTAACACAGCCTAGTGGTAGTTGTCCTTAACTGTTATTTCTTTAACTTTTGATAAAGTGTAGTATAAATCCTGCTCAGAGTTCCTCCAGAGCACAGTGCAAACTCTGGCCTTTTACTTGTTTACCTGGTCAGTACTGGGGTTAAATCTGGGGCTTCATACATACCAGGCAAGTGCTCAACCATTGTACTGTAGCCCCAGTCCTTTTTTAAACCATTTATTTTGACAGAGTCTCACCAAGTTACCCAGGCTGACTGACCTTGAGCTTACTTTGTATTCCAAGCAGTCTTTAAACTTGTGGTCCTCCTGTCTCACTCTCCCATGTAACTGGAATTACAGGCCAATGCCACCCTGCTTGGCTGACTCTGACCCCTGTAAGACCAAAGGAAGCATGGCCATCTGGCAGTTTCTTTCCACCGGACCCTGTTTGCACTTACCCCCCCCCCCCAGTCCTCTTTGACCACTCCTGTTACATCACTTCTGGTCCTAGCTCTAGCTTGATGTCCTACCTTTCCCACATTCTGGCCTGCTGATCACATTTGGTTCACATTTCCTTTACACTGCCCTCCTCAACTGTGAAATCTGGTTATAGGTCCCAGTTTTCTTGAACCACTTTGGTTCTGCTACAAAACCGTTGTAGTTTTTTATTGTGGTGGTTTGAATGAGAATGTCCCATAGGGTCCAAGTATTTGGATATTTTGTCCCCGTTATGGTGCTGTTTTGGGAGGTCTTAGAAGGCATGGCCTGCTGGAAGAAGCATGTCACTGGGGGCGGGCTGACAGAGTTCTTAAGCTTTGCCTGATCTTGAGTTGCGCTCTGCTTCCTGTGCCTGCTTGAAGATGTGAGAGCTTAGCGTCTACTCTGGCCACCTCTGCTGCCATGCCTCCCCAACCTTGATGGACTGTGATTCCCCTGGAACCGTAAACTCAAATAAACTCTTGCTTCTATAAGTTGCTTGGGTCAGTGTTCTATCACAGCAACAGAAAAGTGACTGATAATCACTCATATAGTTGTAGGTTCGGTTACTCCACAGTTCTTGAATTTAAGAGAGGCTTGATGTGGTGATACACGCTTTTAATCTGGCACCCTCAAGGCAGAGGCAGGCAAGTCTAGGAGTTGCAGGTCAGCCTGACTATGGTGAGTTCCAAGCAAGTTTTATTTTGAAGTCTTGTTGCAAAATAAATATAAAAGTAGACTAAGAAAGGGGAAAGAAACCTTGCCTTCTCTAATGAGGAACACTGAATTCATTTTTCTAGAGAATTCATGCTAAGTTTTCCTGGACTGGGTTTTAATGACAAGAAAGTTAGCCCAGTGTGGTAGTGTGTGCCTTTAATCCCAGCACTCGGGAGGCAGAGACAGATGGATCTCTGTGAGATAAAGGACAGCCTGGTCTATGTAAGTGAGTTCCAAGTCAGCTAGGGGCTACAGGGAAACCCTGTTTCAAAAAGACAAATACCACACACAGAGAAATACAGGGAAGCTGAGACAGGACCCAGAGTGGGGGCACCTTTCACGGATAGAACTTTGCATCCGAGCTCCTGAGCAGGTGTGTGAGAGGACTATCTTTAGAAATTCTTCATCCTTGGCCCTCCTAGAGAGGATTCCTTTTCTCCTGACCATTGCTGCCATCACCCTTTTATGCAGTGGATTTATAGAATCAATTTAGATTTATTCAGTCATCTATGTATCTTACTGGGTGATATATGTAATGTAAATGTTAAAATAAAGCCAAACTCATAAAGCTACTTGGCCGCAAATGCTTGAATTTGATAGCTGCATGTTTATCCTAACTTGTTTTTATGACTTGGGGAAAGGTGTACTGTTCTGTTTGGTATCCAGTAGTACAATATCCAGTTATCTGTGGGACTGGGTTCCAGAGTCTTTCTTGGACACTGAAGTGTCATGATGTACAACTCCCTGCTATAACCCTCTTGCATTCTTTAGATCATCTCTTGATTGTTTAAAATACCTAATACAAGGTAAATACTTGTTATGCTATGTTGTTTAGTCAGTGACAAAAGAAATGCATTCAGTACAGACTATGTTTGCTAAATGTATTCAGTACAGACTATGTAGTTTGAATACTTTCGATCCATGGTTGGTTGAAGCCTTGGTTGGTTGAAGCCATGATTGGCTGAACCCACGAATGCAGGACCACCCAATATGGAAAGCTGGCTGTGCTCTGTTGGAAAGGCAGGGTGGGGAAATTGCAGAACACACTAAGGTGGCCTCTGAAAAAGCCCCTTGTTTCTAAATACTATTAGCAAACCTAGCAGTGACCTGGGCTTTCATTACTGTGAGAAATTGACACATAATTGATTTTGGGTATTCATGCTGCTTTTAAATACACTGGTATTAAAAAAAATGATGAAAAGCATGACAGTTTTTTTTTCAACTAGTCTTGTCATTAATACTGTCTCATGAGTTTCAGGAGAGTAGTTATTTATCTTGTATTTCTACTTTCAGCAGCAAAAACTATTAGTGAAAAGGAAAGTATGTTATTTAAATGGATTGAAATTTCAGGATTTGGATCCTATCTAAACATGTTTACACATTCCTAATATCTTACACAGAGAAACTTTTTGTACCTCTTGCCCATGTGGAGGGTTCTTTGACTTGAGTGAAAAACAAACAAATCCTGATTTTCAGAGTCTAATTCCCTTTTCTGAGGTTGGAATGGGGTACACAAGGACCAAGGGCCCCTTGTTCTGGGTCTGTTCCCTAATGGTGTCTGATGGTGCTGTGTTTCTGTGGCCTCTCCTGCAGGCCTCCATCTGCCGGAGCAGCCAGCCCCTCTCTGGCTTCAGTGCCCGGTGCCTGGAGGATGAGCAGATGCTCCAAGCCATCAGGAAAGCCAATCCTGGAAGTGACTTCATTTATGTCGTGGACACACGGCCTAAAGTAAGTGCTACCACCTTCATGAGTCTCTCTGCAGTCCTGGAGATACTCAGGACTCAAGGGAACTCAGGTTGGAAGGGAACCAAGCTAGTAGATACCATCCTGTGCTCTGGTTGCTTCATCTGCAAAGGGTTGTTCCTCTTGGCCCGATGAGGCTGTGGGCAATCCAAGACGCTGCTCACTAGTGCGCCTCAGCTCCTGAAGAGGCTGACTGTGTTGAGTCCACTTTTATTAACTATTTTTTAAGTTATTTTCATTTTATGTGTATGACTGTTTTGCTTGCATATGGGCCAGAGGTAGAACTAAAATTAAAGATGTTTGTTAGCCACTATGTGTGGGTGCTGGGAACAGAACCCGAGTCCTTTGCTAGAGCAACCAGTGCTCTTAACCACTGAGCCATCTCTCCATCCCTCCCTATTTTTTAACATGCTAGGCACAGTGAATGAGTGTGGTTTGATTTTAGAAGTTGCCCCCTAAATATACTCATTTATCATCGTATTTGTGTCTAAGCCGTCTCTTTCTGTTCCAAAAATGTGAAGATTACTGTGGAGCTCCTGTGGTTCAGTTTGTGAGGTATTCAGCTAGACCTTTTCAGATCCTATTTGTAATGATCTACACCCATGATTTGGAAAGGTTGGAAAGGTCTGTACATTGTAAGGTTAAGGGTAAAAACCAGTCACAAAATAAGATGTAGACTATTATGCTTTTGTGCAAATACTATAGGTATATGTTAAATATGTAGAAAAGGATCTGAAAGAATAAACACTAAGCTGTTAAATACCATGGAGAAGGGAATAAGATTTGGGGGACAGAGAACATTCTACTTGTCTACTGTTAGAAAAATATTATTTCATAATAACATATTTACTAATATATTAATTCTCTAATTCCATAGTACCCAGTAGAAAATGATGGAGCTGTTTATCAGGGGGAAGCCAAGTTGATCTTAGACTTTCCTTCTACTCAGCTTCACTTGGTGGTGGAGGAGGTAGTGTTTTAGTGTTTTTTAGTGTTTTTTAAAATTCAGTTTTAGGTACAATACATTTTCTAGAGATACGCATGAAGAATTAGACTCAGTTCTTTCAGAAGTAGTAAAGAAATGGTGTCCTTAGAGGGAGGTGTCAGTGAAGACAGAAGTAAATCATCTTGATGTGCGGTGAATATGTAACACAAAATGTGGACAGCATGAAATATCCATTATTCAGGATTTTGGCATTGTAATCAATGTAGCCTATGCCTGATAAGAAAGATGTCATAAAAACCTATATGTGAATACTTTGGCATTGTAATCAATGTAGCCTATGCCTGATGAGAAAGATGTCATAAAAACCTATATGTGAATACTTATTATTAATCAAATCAAATTTGGTTCCTTCAGTGGATCATTATTCAGCAATAAAAAAGAATGGAGTCTTGTGACATAGAACCTTGTGGATGAACTTCGAAGATGTTAAGTGAGAAAAGCCAGTCACAGGGTAGTCCTTGTTGTAAGATTCCATTTACAGAAAGTGTCCAGGATAAGCAAAAATTCATAATGCCATGTAGTAAACTGACTGGTGCTTAAAGCTATGGAGATGGATGGGAAGAATGGGAGGCGACTGTGAGTGTACAGATTTTTCTTTGGAATGATAGAAATGTTATAAATTTAGGTGATGGTGATAACCATGAAGCATGTGAACATACGAAACACTAACATTCTTTAAATAGTTGAGCTGTAGGACATGAATAAAATTTCAGTGAAGCTATTTAAAAAAGAATAAAGGCATTACAAAGGAAAGAAAAAAAATAGGACTAACCATTCAAGTCAGTTTAAGAAGAGCAGGCACTTACAGGGCTGGAGAGATGGCTCAGCAGTTAAGAGAACTGACTGCTCTTGCAGAGGACCCAGGTTCGGTTCCCAGCACCTACATGTTGGCTAACAACTGCCCATAACTGTAGTTCCAGGGATGGGATCCCGCGCCCTCTTCTGACCTCCACAGACATTGCATGACACAGGTGCACTTACATACACGCAGGCATAACACTCATACATATAAAATAAAAATAACAAAATACTAAAAAAAAAAAGAGTAGGCATGTACAGACCGAGATGGGTATGTATAGATGTGGTCTGTACTCATGGACACTATGAGAATAAGGAACCCAATGCAGTCTTCTTACAGATCCTTAGAACCTGGGTCATTGTCTACCACTCCTCTGAGCCTCATTTTACCAAATACTTCATGTATTAGGTCACTGCTGTGCTGTTCTCCTAGTGCAGGATCATGGCTCTGCTCATGAACAGGTCTCTCTGCTCCTGCTCACAGGGCACTATAGGATTTGCCTGTTTGAAGTAGTGGGAGTTACTCTCTGATGCCAGACAGTACCAGTCATGGAGACTAGCAGACATTATGGCATGGTCACCTCACATCCTCCCAGGTCATACATTTTACTGTTCTCTTTCGATCTGTGCCTTTCTCTCTGACCCGGGGTTCGAGCCCTTTCTTCAGATCCTGATTGCATTCCTTCCTTTTTCCTGTATCTTTTGAGTAAGATAGAGCTGTTTTGAATTTCCTTGTAATTATATATGCTTCTTAGAAGATAAATCCCAGACAAGCTTAAAGAGGGAAGAAAAGACAAGGGCTTGACTAGAGTGGAGACTAGAAAGCTCTTTTTCCAATCCTGCTTTTCCAGCTTTAAATAAAGATAGACAGATTCACCTCCTAATTTAAGAGCCAGTGATCCAAGTTGACTCTGTGTTATGTAAGCCTTGCCTAGAATGTGGCAGCTGCAGGACCAGGCCTATTCCAGATTTAAAACCAATTAGTCCTAAGGATTTGATTCAAAGGGTATATTTAGCACTTAGTGTGTTTATTCTCAGCGATAAGAAGTTTGTCTCTGATCCGTTAAAGAAAATTGGTAGCCCTCTTCCTTGTATTTATTCAGGCACACACACACACTTCTCATGATTTTTAAACTGTTTGAGTCAAGCTTTCATTCTTTTAAAGACCAAGTCTGTGGTTTTTTTTTTTTTTTTTTTTTTGCCCCGGGCTGTGTTAGGTTTCCTGGGTAACTGAGAGACTGAGAGGATGTTTGCCTTGGAAGGTGTGAATGGTGGCACCACAGCCCAAGTCCTACCCCATTTGCTCACTCATTTAATTAAGAAGAGAAAGACTTAGCTGCCCCAGGCTGTGTTAGGTTTCCTGGGTAACTGAGAGACTGAGAGGATGTTTGCCTTGGAAGGTGTGAATGGTGGCACCACAGCCCAAGTCCTACCCCATTTGCTCACTCATTTAATTAAGAAGAGAAAGACTTAGTGGGCAGCACAAAGGACCTTGATCCTTGGCTTTTGAGCAGGGCCAACCCATCTAAGAGCTTCACTTTCTGTCTCTTCAGATGAAAGCCTTCTGCATTGCTTACTGACCTGAGAGTGAAGGGGTACAAAGGCAGTGCTGTCCTCAAGCTTGTATGGAAAAGGATCTGACCTTGGCGCATGTGCTCCATGCATTAAGAAAATGTGAAAAAGTGTCAGAGCAATATTAGTTGAGTTATAAAAATGAGGACTATTTCATTTTTATCTCAGCCTTGCTCATGACTTTATCAAATGTTTTGGTTCTTTTCTAAGCTTCTAGAAATAACAGGTGCTTTCTCGTTTAGTTCATTATAAAGATTCTGTAGATTAGGAGATTGTTTTTTTCTTTTCTTGGGTAAGGGATTAGGTTTAAAGAGGTTAAGTAATTTGCCCAAGACCATATAATTTAGGGCTGAGGCACATTTGAATACAGACTTAACTGACTCAAAAGCTCTTCTTGTTTAAAAAAATATCACTAGTGGACCTCTCCCGACTTCAGGGCTCAAGAGGGTTTCCACCTCAATTGAGCATACACTCAGTGAAAGCAGAGACACAGAGCTGAAGAGGTAGCCCCAAGCTCAGCCAAAGTCAGCTCATGGCCAGAGGAGCTCAGGGGGCTCTGAGCTGCCCACAGAATACCTGCCACTGTGGAGGAAGTGTTGAGCCATGAAGGGAAGGGGGAAAGTTGAGGCTTTTACCTGCCTCGGTAGGGGCTTGACCTTGCATCCTGCTCCACTGTCAAAAATTCCTTTGTGGTTGTTGCCTTGACTTCCCCATGTCAGTGATTATTTTATTGAGTAACAGGAAGTCACCATGGGCTGTTTCTTCCTCTGGAGTTGGTGATGAGGTGGTGTCTGTGCACTGAATCTCAAGAAGGTGGCATCTGAGAAATACAGCTGTGAAGATTAAAACTGCTTGAAAGACTTGAACCTGGGATCTTCAGGCTTGGTCAGATGTGCATGGGCCTGCAGATGGCGATCAGCAAAGGAAGGAGAATGTGAGACAGCTGTGTATAGCTACAGGAGGAGCAGTCTGCACATCTGCTTTTTGTCAGTGCAAGGATCGAGGAATGCCCTTTGAGTTAGGTTGGACCTGAACCATCTTGCTAAAACCTTGCTAAGACAGCTTACATACTGAGGGTCCCCAGCTGCGAGAGACGGGGGAATGGAGGAGGTTTATGCCATGATGGAGTCCATATGAATGAAATGTGTACTTCCTACCTCCAGGAACCCACATGTGTCTTAGGAGAGTCAGCGTTTTAATACCTATGCTGTAGAAGTTGGAGATGGCCTGTTAGTATTAATCAGAGAGGTGTGCCAACCAATGAGTGCCTGTGCCAACCAATGAGTGCCTGTGCCACTTCCTATCGGCTACACGGAACAGATGAGCCTGGAAGAAATAGCGGAGGGAAAAGTCCCAGAGCAAAGTGCTCAGCAGACCAAATATCCAGTAAAGGAGGAAACAGACCATTTTTGCATTAAGCTGGTTAGAGATTTCCTACCTGGTTTTAATCCTAAATCTATTAAAATCTGCCCAAGATGTCCTAAGTGGTGAAACAGATTTTGACTAGATCAGCTATAGACAGTAGTTGCGTGGAATAAACATCTCATATTCCCATGTCTGTGCTGCAGTTAAGGTTAGCAAGTCGTAGCTGGAGAAAGGGACCACCATTTGACCATGTGTGTTAGGCCAGTTCTGCCAAGGTCAAATTCTGCTATGGTCTTCTCTTCAGCATTGTCAGATCAGGCCTTGTCCTAAGACAGGCATAAAATGTAACTGATAAGGTCTTAGATCCCAGCACTATGATAGTGACGAGGACTGGACTTCCTTCATCTTGATCTCAAGATGAACATTCACTGAGTTTTCATAGGTGTGATTGAACCAGGATGGTAAAGAATCATTCGTTTATCTAGTCACATATCCATTGGTCAGTCAGTCATTAAGTCTCCTTTGAGTATGTGTGCTGGGTTGGGAAGGGTGTGGCCTCCACCTCCCTCCTTGCTTCATCTAGAATAGTCTCTACACCCTCCCCAGTAAACCCAGCTCCAGCTTGCACACTTTCCTCAGTCTGCAGGGTTGCTCTGGATTCCAACTCTTGCCATGGTGGCTGCTGTTCACTCGGCTCCTCCCAGTTCTGGTGGGGATTGTCTGCTACCGTTTGACACCATTCACTTTCCCTTGCATATTCAGTTATGAATGTAAGAAAACAAGAACAGCTTCTTATGCATCTTTTTATTCCAACCAGTGCCTTTTTTGTTTCTTTTATGGGCATCATCTGGACTGAAGATGGTGACATCAGGTAGCCAAGTGTTAAGCAACAAGGTAGATTTTCCAGCCCCTCCTTTCCATTTGTCTGTTTCATAAGCAGAAATGAAAACTGGAATTCACTTATCTCTCCCACTTGTCTACTTAGGAATTTTTGGGATCTGAGGTCAATACCTTTTTATTAGATTATAAAATTATCTCAGCCAAAGGAGCCCCATAAGACTTACTAATAGTGATTTGTTGATATAAGGCACACACATCCATCCATTCATCTGCCATCTATCAAAGCAAACCTAGAGTAGACTTTTGAATGTTGAGTAATGCTAAATCTGTCTCCTGCTTAAGTTCAACTTTAAAGCACATTATCATGATAAACCCATAAAATAACTGGAGCTCCTGAAAAATTGCCCTTTGCATGGGAGATTAAATACTGCCACCTTCTGTATACGATGTGAAGTACACTTGACTTTCAAGTGTTTGCTCCTGCGTGTTAAAGAAGACTGCTAACTAGTTCTCCCATCATAGCTTATTAACAATTTAACAGTGTGAGCATATGTTACATATTACAAAATTACAAGTATTGTAAAGCATTCATAATAGTGATAGTCTCTACTTTTTACATATTACACATTTTTAGAAGAGGATGGTGCTGTGGCAGCAAGGCTTATTATTCAGAGAGAACAAGTATCAAGTTCATGTAACATAGGCTTCTTGCATGGATTCTCTTAATTGTTGTGTTTTATGAAGTGTGTTATAAAGGATTAACTTTGAAAATTAGGCTTTGAAAATAATTATATAAAACAATTTTTGTAGTACATAGTTTCAGAAGAATAAGTTTATGAATAATTTCTGGGGAAAATGCCTTAAAATATTTGAACTTTTTATTTAGGTTTTTGAGAATTTCATGCAATGTATTTTGATCATTCACACTGCTCCCAAACCCACCCAGGTCTGCCTATCACTTCTCTACCCATCCATTGAGTTCAGTTTGTGCTGTCCATGTGCTGTTGGCTGTGTAACCATCCTCTAGAGTGGGGTTGACTGCAGAGTCTTAAAGGAAACTTACTCCATCTCCCTGCAGTCATCAGTTGCCAATAGCTCCTCAGCTAAGGGGGGATATGCCCACCTCCTCTCTCCAGACTGGGATTTTGTTTGCTTTGGGCTTATGCAAGCTTTGGGCATGCTGTCACAACCACTGTGAATTCATACGCATATCTGCCTTGTTGGGCCTAGAAAATATGGTTTCCTTGTAGTTATCCACCACTTTTGGCTCATCTAATCTTCTGCCCCTTCCTCAGTGATCCCTGAACCTTGGGAGGAGAGGGTGTCCCATTTAGTTATGAATGTTTTAAAGAATGAACATACAGTGTCCCTTAAAACATATTATCTTTCTTAAAGGTAAAACTTTTGTTCTTATAGCCTACTGATCTGCTCTTGTAGACTGGGAACAGTCTCCCAAGGGGTTGATATTCCCCAGCTGATGTTACACAAGTGGAACTCAGGAACAGGGTTGCTCTTGAAGCAGGAGTTCCTATGCAGTGCTAGTTCTATATTTTTCCATAATTTTGTTGTTCTTAATGAACATACATAAACATAAATATGTCAGTAAGTTTATGCATTAAAATCATGCTTATAGGAATATTGTGTGTGTGTGCGTGCGTGTGTGTGTGTGAGAGAGAGAGAGAGAGAGAGATACCAATCTATATCCTCAGAGAGAGAGAGAGAGAGAGAGAGAGAGAGAGAGAGAGAGAGATTAATCTATATCTTCTGTGCCTGGTTGCAGTTCAGGGCATGAATACCATAATATAACCATTTTTTTCTCTCTTGAGATATTCTTGGGCTTGGAATTTTTTCTATTATATAAAAGAAATCACAACAAATATTGTTGGCTGTCATGTGCTGATACTTTTATTTTGTGAGGTTTTTCCAGAGTATGGGATCTTAGTCAAAGAACATAACGTGTTTTTAACTTAATTTAACACTTAGCTATTTGAAGTAGTATTTCACATAACACTCTTAAAAACAGATTTCCCCTTGCCGTCGTCATGGTTCTCTGCCTGGGCTCGTCCTCTGCCTCTGTGACCTGAGGAAGAGAATGGCCAGTGAACATTGTTTCTGCCAGCCTGCCTAGTCAAATAGCAAGAGAGGCGCATTAGCAGGTGTATGTCCATGCGGAAAATCTCTGAATTTCCTGGATAAGGCAGGACTTATCTGCTCCTTGATTTTACTATATAGGGTTAGGGCAGAGTTGGGGCTTAATAAATTTCTTCAGAGTCCATTAGCATTAAACCCAATTTGCATTGAACTTCCAGTTTGGTGGGGTTTTTAAAAATATTTTATCTATTATTTTTATTTTATGTGTATGTGTGTGTTACCTCTATGTAGGTAAGTGCACCCGTGTCATGCAATGCCTGTGGAGGACAGAAGAGACTGTTGGATCCCCTGGAACTGGAGTTATGGACAGTTGTTAGCTGCCATGTGGGTGCTGGGATTCGAACTCAGGTCTTCTGCAAGAGCAACCAGTGTTCTTAACCACTGAGCCATCTCTCCAGCCCCCAAGAAACTTCCAATTTAAAAAAAAATTATTTTATTTTTTGTGTGTGAGTGTATTGCCTTGCATGTATTTAAGCGCACCTGTGTTGTGCAATGTCCACAGAGGCCAGAAGAGGGCGTAAGATCCCCTGGAACTGGTGTTAACAGACAGTTGTTAGCTGCCATGTGGGTGCTGGGAATGGAACCTGGGTCACCTGGAACAATAGCCAGTGGTCTTAACCACTGAGCCATCTCTTCAGCCCTCTGAACTTCCAACTTTTTGTCTCTAAAATTAAAGTTTTGATTATGAAAGTGGCAAAAAAGCCCATACATTAGACATTTAAGTAGGGTAGGTGGAGATGGAGCCTGACCCTGCATTCTCTCTTCATTTTGTTTCATAATTTAGTAATTCTTGCTCAAGGTTTAATTGTGCAAATTAGAAAGATAAAACCATTCCTACCTGGTAACATGTTTATTGTTGCTTGCATACTGGTAGGTAATTCAATGTACAGAGCCGTATTGACAACTGTCTCTGTGGATATTCTTCTACCAACCAGCAAGTTCTAATGTATGGGATTAAACTGGAACAAAGTGACTCTGCCACAGAATTCCACATTGATTCAGCATCTCTGGCAGGCAACCAGCAGAGGTGTCTCCAGTAGATTTTATAGAACACGTCCCAGCTAAGAAAATGTTAGCCAAGCTAGCACATGGATGCTGTTGGATATGAGCTAAGTGTTTGTGCCTAGAACTATGCAGGCCAGTGCAGTGCCCCAGGATTTAGACCATATTATGTCTGCACATCTTTGTAATGTTTCTATGTGTTCATAAAATGTGTTGGTCAGTCCGTGTTCTGAATGTAATTGGTGACTGTTCTGTTTTGCTGCCCACTGCAGCTTAATGCAATGGCAAATCGTGCTGCAGGGAAAGGCTATGAGAATGAAGACAATTATTCCAATATCAAGTTTCAGTTTATCGGAATAGAGAACATCCATGTCATGAGGAACAGTCTGCAGAAAATGCTGGAAGGTAAACCATTTTGTTATGAACAGTGTTAAAAAAAAATATTTATTTTGATGCCAAAATGAAATAAGATAGTATTTTTATTTTACAATTGTTTCTTTTCCAGTGATGCTGTTACATAAGTGTGATAAGTTGGGGAAATACCATGTTGCAATGATTCTTTAAACATTTAGAAGCTTTTTCATTTCACTCCAGTAGTAGCAGTCAAAGACTTTCCCCTGGTACTTAATATCTGAGATGGAACTCTCCCTCCCTCCCTCCCTCCCTCCCTCCCTCTCTCTCTCCTTCTGTAGTCATTTGTAAAGAACATAATCCTACCTTTAAAGTAATAGCCGGTGTTCTTAGGTGGACATCAGGTTCATAAACTGTCCCCATGTTCCTTAATGGCCTTTACTACATGGGAAGGTATGGAAGGTCCTCATCTTCATGTCTAAATGTCAGCAACTACTGCATATATATCCCCATCCTAACAGCAGTGAGCACCATGAAACACATACACAAGAACTTAACATGTTCATGTGGAGAGAAAGCTAAAAGATGGATTATATGATACAAACAGTTGCTCCTCTATCCATGTGGTCATTAGCAGAAATTCTGCATTTCAAGCAGAACTGCAGCCTCTTACTGTGTATGCTCCTCAGGATCATAAAGGCCCATGAAGGAATCTTGCTACAGTCCACTACTCCTGGTTCTAGGGGCAACTGAAAAAGAGGAGGGTGCTGGAGCCATAGTGTCATGCCTTGCCTATGAACACTGGAAAAGCGGTTCTGAGGACAGTGTGGAGAGATGGCGCTGAGTGCTAGGGAAGTGGGCTGTCTCAGTAGGAAATGTAGAGTCTGAGGTAAAGAGGGACAAAGAAGGAACAAATTGCTTTTTCTGGGACTGCACATTTGCTCTAAGTTGCATATACGTTCTCTGTTTAATCAACACAACACAGTGTTGTAAGACCCTCATGGTTGGACTGGAGAAAGTGCCACAGAGAGGCCTGATTTCTATTCTTTTTCATGGACCCCCTGGTGTACCTGTCATTGTGAAACTTTGAACACATCAGTTCACTTCTCTAGGGCTCTGTTGCCTACAGTAAAATGAGAAGATTCCATTAATAATCTCTATAGTTTCCACATAAGAAATTTTGATACCCTTGGTTGCAAACACTGAAAACTGAGCATTTGAAGGCTAGGGGGCTAGCTCAGTGATACAGCATTATCTCCTGTGTGTGAGGCCTTGGGTTCAGTTTGCAGCACTAGAAAAAGTAAAAGAGCATTTGTATAGTTAGAAGCAACCTTTTCCTGCATCTGGCGAAAAAAATTACAGGCCCATCGTGATCTCCATCTTATTTTGACACAGGGTTTTGCTGTCTCTTAGGTCACAGATATAATACTCTTGGCATGAGTATTTGAGTTTCTTAAGCACATAGAAATTTTCATCACTGTCCTTTCTATAAATAGTGCTTTTGCCTGTAGGAAAATTGGGGCTAGTGTATTTCTGTTGTTGAAAGACAATCTAACTTTGGTATGAGAAGTGTTCATTATTGTTGGAATCATTAGAAAAATTTCATGTTAGCTTTATAATTCAAGAACATAATTTTCTTTTGTGCAGAAAGTTGGCCCCAGGAGTGCTCATAGCATAGGCCTCTGACCTTAGTTTCTAAATTACCATTTATTTGGTTTCACACCCTCACCTTGCTGCTATTTCTTGAGGACAGGCAAACTGCTCAGGTTCCGGAAGTCAGCTGTTTGTTAAGGAATCATGGTACTTACTACCTTATAACCCTTCTGACTGTGTATGTAATGCAGTAAGCAAGGACAGCTTTCTGGATGCCTCTCAGGGGTCTTGACCAGTGTTTGACTATCTGTTTTTCCTGAGTAAATTATAAACCACCAGCAGAGGCTCAGCCGATGAAGTGATGCAATCAGACCCACCTTCCCAGGGGTTTCTTCTTCAAACAGCGGTCCTTGGCGTCACACACTGTAATGCAGGGCTGACGAAGTTCACTCACGACACTTATTTCTTCAAATAAGAACAGATTCTAAATAATGGAAAGTTCTGGCTGCCTGTGTCTAGATGGTTCTTTCTGGGAGTGGGAACTTCAGGATGTTTCATCAGAAACAGAAATGTAGGGTCAAGTTCACACCTTCTGTAGGTCCTACCGTAGAGGTCAGTGTATGCCAGTTTTAACTTTGACCTAGAGGTTCAAAACCAAACTTTTGTCTTCCTACCCATTAACTAGATGAAGTGGTTATGTTTTTGATGTGTAGCAGTTTTGTAATTAAAGTGCTTTTCAATCATACAGACAGTGGACTTCCTCTCAAAGAGAAAAAGAACAATTTTTCTTTTTTATAAAAATGGCTGATAGAAGAGTCTAGAACAGGCTTCTCTTAAGGCCAAGGGCCTTGCTTTACCATTAGTGGTGGAGCTTCCACCTTGTATGTGTCTTCTGTTTGGGGCAGGAATCAGCAGAGCATGGGCAGGTGTACTTGGAACCTGTCTCAGATCTCAGCTTGGCAGGGAGGTGCTCTGGCAGGATACCTCTCAGTACCACTGTCCCATTAAAGGGCTTTGCGGAAAGGTGTGACAGAGATGGCATTTTTTTATTTATAGCTAACATGCCATTTTTGGATGGTCCCTAGACATTTTGCTTTCTCCCCACTGTCAGTTTTGTGCTTGCATTCCATATGGACCTTGTATTGCTGGCTACTTTGTATCTTTCTGCTGACCACTTACTCATTAAGTTAAAAATGAGCAACCATGAGATATTGCTGCTGCTGCTGGTACCTGGTGGTGGTAGTGATGGTGGTGGTGATGATGGTAATGGTGGTGGTGATGGTGGTGGTGATGGTGGTGGTGTTGGTAATGGTGATGGTGGTGATGGTGGTGGTGGTGATGATGGAGGTGGTGGTGGTAGTGGTGGTATTGCTGTTGCTGATGCTACTGCTCCTCCTTCTCATCTTCTTCCCCTCCTCCCTCCCTGTCCCCCTCTCTCCCTCCCTCCCTCCCTCCCTTCCTCCTCCCCCTCCTATTCTTTCTCTTCTTCTGCCTTTCTTTTTGTTGGAAGACAGGGTCTCACTGTGTAGCTCAGTCTGGCCTCAAACTAGATGTCCTCATACTTGAGCCTCCTGAGTGCTGGCTTTATAGGCGTTCAAGTATTTTCACTTAAATGATTGCATTTGATTTTCACAGCAATATTCTATAGTACATGGCATTTTTACAGTGTAAATAAAGAATGAGAATCTCTGAGAGGTTAGACTATTTAATTAAAGACACTTTTGAGAGTTAAAGCAGAAAGTTGAAACAATCATAAAAGCACTTAAATTTTCCCTAGTCACTGAAGAAATGGAAGTTAAAATAAAAAATTGAAATATCCAACACTGAAAAGAATGTTGTAAAATTAGTTCTGGTATTTCTAGTGTCATTTAAATTGACTTAGAGAGGGAGAGAGATTACATTTTGCTCAGAGATAAATAATTTCCTACCAGATTTCCTCCTATGGACTAATCCAAAGTATAGTTTCAAACACTAGACACATGCATGCCCACACGGATAGTAGTGTTTCATTTATAATAGCAGAATATTGGAAGCCAGATATTATGGCCAATAATTGTAAACTACATAAATAATTTTACTCCACTTCCTTGACAGAAAATTTTACACCCAATAAAAACAAATATGAAGAATATGTATTAGCATAGGATAATGTAGGCAACATACATACAAAATTAAGTTATAACAGTATATGCCTACTCTTATTCACTATACAGTAAGTCATATGTTTCAAGAAAGACTAGGAGTGAATTCTGGAATGATCATTAAATTAGCAACAGTGATGATGGATGCTGTTTTTCTTTATCCCTCTTTGTTTACCAAGTATATGCGACGGTTGGTAAAGTACATTTCTTTTAACAATACACATAATCTCACAGTTTATGTGGCTCAGGATTCTAAATGTGTTTTTTGTGTGGTTGTGGACTAGATTCTTTTTGAGGGTCTTGTAAGGCTGCAGAGTGTCACCTGGGCTGTGTTCTCATCAGGAGGGCTCAGATGGGGAAGAATCTTCTTCTATACCCATTCAGCTGTTGGTAGAAGTCAATTCAGGCTCCTACACTTTGTTGGTTGGAGGCAACTTTCAGGTCCTGCAGATACCACAGATTTGCTACATGGACTTATATATAAACTAGTGACATGGGACACTTTGATTCTTCAGGCCACTATAAGTACTTCTCTCCAGTTCAAGAATCTAGTATTTTATAGTTTGAAATAAGACAAAAAGAAAAAAAAAAAAACCCATAAAAAACCCAGCTTTTGGGAGACAAAGACAGGAGCGTGAGCAAGCTGACTAATGGCCAGCTCCAGGGTCAGAGAGAGACCTTACCTCAATATATAAGGAGGAGTGACCAAAGAAGATGCCTGATGTCAGCCTCTGGCTTCTACAGTGTGCATATGCATGCACATGTACAGGCATGTATTACCCCCCCTCATGCATACAAACAAGCAAAACGGATCCTTCTCAGTATCACATAACAAGAACACCTGAACCAAGTGCTTCCCATTATGTTACCATGATCCTTGTTTTGTGGTTCACAGAAAACTGTTTTACATAGTAATTATGACATCTAAGTACTTGACTCTGGAATTTTAAAGATGTATTTAAGTACCCTAACAGTGATCACGTGTATCTGGCTCTCATTACTCTCATTTTACAGATGAGAAAATTGAGGCACAGAGGCCAAGCAGCTTGCGTGGGTTCATAATGCTAAGTTGTTGAAACAAGACTTTCAGCTCATTAGCATAAATCCAATGTCACACTCTTAGGCATACCCAGTTTCTCTGCCTCTATAGGACAATGTGTCAATGTAGAAAGCAGTTCTCACTTCATATGTATGTAAGGTGATGTAAATGATGTATTTTCCTTGCTTAATTGTTAGCGTACTAAAAAGATTCTTCACAGACTATCAAGTGCTTTCTGTTGCAAGGTGCATAATACTTTCTCTTGGCAAGCAATAATGTAA